TTCATCGAGTCGATGAACTGATCGATCGACTCTTCTGAGTATAGAGAGACCACAGTCTCGAAAGCGTTGATCGCAGCAGTGCAGATCGTTATATATTTTGCTGCTTGAGCTACCCTGCGCTCTTCAGCTTCAATCATGGCTTTCAATTCCGGGGGGCAGCCATTGATTTTTTGTTTCCTGCTTTCGCTGCAGGAAGATTGTTGATTTTCAGTTGCCACTGATGGGGGTTGGTTGACGTTCTGAGGGGCTGTGGCTTGATTAGCCTTTTCAACACTGAAATTACTGTCTGCTTTACGGCTGGAACAGCAATCTCCTTTGTCAATCGATTGACGGTGGTCTCAGAGACCGGACCGTCATTCTGATGAGCGACATACCATCGGGAACTGTTGAGTCCCTCTTGTATGTAGCTGTCTATAACCGCATCACCGATTTCTTCGTCTGGGTTCGTCGAGTTAGAGTCTTCCTCGAAGGCTCTCATCCTTTCAGTCATCTCTGACTCCATCTTGTTTTGATCTATCGTTTCGATCCATAGATTCCTTGAATACAGGCGCGGTTGTAGCCTGGTTTTAATTGTCGCCATTGCTTTAAGCTGACGCGCGGGTCGGGTGATTTTCGTGGGCCCCATTGCCATTTTGGTGATTTGGGGGCTTGCCACTATGAGAAACGTTGTTATTAGATTGAGTGATGATGATTTGAAGGGTTAAGGAGGGGGATGGGGGATTATTCATCGATTTCAAACAAATTGCGGTTGTTTTGTTTTGTTTTATTATTTTCTCCTAAGCTAATGCTATTTTTTCCACAATGGGTCAAGGAAAGGTAGAGCCGGTAAGGATCACTGTATACAGTCCCAACTCATTCCAACCGCGTGAAATTCCACATAAATAATGGTGTTAACAGCAAAACTAAAATCATAAACAAAAATCAAATTCAGAAGTCCCAATTAGGTCCGGATCCCGTGCTTCTCGCCCGTTCTCTTTCCTGTCACATCTTCCAAGTGACAATTTCTGATCTTCGCTCAGAGCAGAAGATGATCTCGCAGACACCCTTTCTACAGCCGGTGTCCTACTATTAACGTGTTGAAGCCTAGACGACTTCACTGAGGCTGGCCGTAACCTTAAACCTCCTCTTCGGATTCCAGAATCCCAAAACCCGATCCGTCCGACATGTAGACGTCATTCTTTGAGCCGTGAACCGCCTGAATGACTATTTCGGCTACAGCTTTGATTCGAGCAAAATCTGCCTGATTTTTCTACTCGACTTTGCGAATTATCGCAAGCTGCTCTTTTTCACCGGGCCAAACTTACTGGGTCTGGCTTTGCAGAACCGTGATTCCGATCGATGAAGTCCACCACAGTTTCGGCAACGTGTGGGGGCTTTGCACTCCGTTTCCAAGTGCATTTTTGATCCGCGGTTCCAGCAAGCCGGAGCGCGGGAGCAACCCCGGGAGGTATGGAAGCCAAGACATCGTTTGTACTGAGCTATGTTTCGACGAGGTTGGAAGAGCTTTGCAGCTCCGGATTCATCGAATAGGCGAGATCCAGGTCCAGGCGTGAATTCGCGAGGGAAGAGCGCTTGACAGTTCTAGTATGGCGCCCCGGGTTTGCTGGTCCCATGAGGACGAACCAGAAAGGGAACCGATTTGGTCACTCGCGTGAATTCATCGGCAACCATCTTTGCCGTCACGGCGATGGGGCCAACGAGAGTTCGAATTGTCTCCAGGACGGTGGCAATTTTCATGGCAACCAGATTTGATGCTGGTTCCAGTTTGATCCCAGATTCGCTCCATGATGTGGAGGAATTCAGGAGCTCTTTTCGAGCGAGTTCATCCTTTGCGGTTATTGCAAACCCGGTCTTTACCCGCCAAACTAACGTCACATTGTTGGCAGCGGTTCCTAGTGCCTAAGACACAGCTAGCCTTACATCAGCTAGGCAGAGGAGACGGTGGGGATGGCAATATTCAAGGCGTAGAAAAAGTCGTGAATCGACTTTCTCTACGCGAGTTGGCACTTTTTGCTTTCTGGTCGGGCGTTGCTGCCTTTTTTGTCGATGGCCCAGCGCTGCTGACTAGGCCTGCCCGAGCTACGGTAGCCCAAGTTGTTTTTGGGGCCGGAGCCTGGGTTTTCGTAGGTTTCGGTACCCTAATTTCTGGAGCCCTCGGTGGGAGAGTGCTGACGGGACGGGCAGGAAGGACTGATTGTGTGCTTCCTGGACCGGATTGAACGAGCTGGCCAATGGCCGCTCGTAGGTAGACTTTTATGCCGTCTACAAATTCTTTATTATCGCCGATCGAAATAGGCGAAAGTGCTGCTTCAACACTGCTTATTGCAGTGGAACAGATTGATACAAGGGCATTGATTTGCGTCGTGCGACGCTTCTCGGCCTCCATTACTGATTGCAGCTCCGGAGGATATTCCGGTACTGATGTCGAAGCTGTACCTTTTGAAGCTGGCACAGTGAATGTTCTTGCAGACGTTTCTGTGTGTTCTGCCGTCTTCTCTCGGACGACTTCCTTTCATTTACTTGAGATGCTTGCCTCTGGGACAAGCTCGATGGGAATTTTGGCCTCGGGACCAATTTTTGCTGACCTGACGGGCTCAGAATCAGTCATCTCTTTGTCGAGAAGGTTTGGAGACTTCCCTTCGATGAAGGCCTCACTCGCAAACATGCTTGAAAGTTTTTGCGCGACGCCTGATGTTTTTGCGAGAGTCCTCGAGCGGACTCTCGCGTTGTCCAACATTGAGTTGGGGAGCTTTCTTCGAACAAGTGGCATTATGAAAATGCCAGCGACTCGATCACAATTTATTGAGGGTACGCGACGAGCGCGAGAGGGAGGGAGAGGGGAAAAAAGGAAGATCCGAAATTTCGAATTTCGAATTTCAAAAAATTGTGGTTGTTTTGTGAGCTAGCACTAGATTAAATAAAACAAACAGACACATATCCCGCTTGAGAGCCGGCAAAGACGAATTCTTCACCTTGTTGAAATTGGTGCTAATTTGCAGTGAAGACCATCATTTACACGGAATGTAAAAATGCTTATGTTTTTGTTATCCGCATTCATGGTTAATCATATATTGGCCAGCCTCCCATTACAGACAGTAAGCGAGGGGTGGTGTCCCTCACTTAATCATGACATTTAGATCACACATCACTCTAGCTCTAAGTGGATTTAATCAACAACTCTTCAGTATATTTTTCAGACTCTTTGACGTCCTAATTCGCTTCACTAGGTGATATGAAACAGAAGACTAACAGCTTAAGCTTCTCTATAAAACTTTCCCTCCAACGCACCTTCCATCGGTGAGGTGTAATCGCTCAGTGTACTCTGCATACCTGGAATAGTCAAGATGAATCGCATCCGAATCGAAATCGAAATTAATCTCAATCATACCTAAAATCGATGACTTTTTATCAATGTCCGGGCTATCTTTCTCGCAGCGCTTCATAGTCATAGACTCAGTAGGGACATAAATTAAATTCTATTCTATTCTATCTATCTCGCTAGATTCCTTCAACTCATACTACAAATCAACTCGTCTGAACGACTGATCAAGTAGTCACACCAGATGCAATTTCGCATTTGAAACATCAAAAATCGGCTATATATATGTGAAAGGAGGAAATAGGTCATATTAAACAAAGATCGGGTCTTGGTGTATGGAGGGGCCGTTATTCTAATGGAGCTTTATATCTTGAGGGGACAGGTAGCTATGACGTGAGACGAGCGAGTAAAGAGGTCACAATTGGGCATGCTGGGACTGATATTCTTCGAGAGGTTTTGACTTTGGGGTGCTTGTGGGCGCCAAGGCTTTGATTTCGGATAGTTCTACCGACAACTTCAAAACAGGCAACGATGGAAGATGTTGCGGTTCACCTCCTGGTCGTCATCTCCCTGAATTAAAGTCTTGGCAGTCTGGATACCTACTCTCTCGAGAAAGGGAGGACTGTGAGGCCATATCTCGCGCGGCGGCCATTTACACGATGGCAAAGGCCTGTTCCTGTTTATCCTTTGGTGGAAATTAACGGTTGAGGGAAGTGTGAAAGTCCCTCGCACTAAGGTCTCGAGTGATATCAGCTAATCCACACACCACATGAGTAGTCCAAATGTTAAAATGAGTAATCGTCGTATATAATCGTCGGGGAATGGCTCGCCTTCTACGTGTCATGCTCTTTGAGTGCTAGGCTTATATCCGTCACGAACAAAATTCTATCTTTCAATTCTACTAGAATCTGGACATGGCTAGATCGAATAATGAAAGACTTCACCATATTTCTTAAGGTGCTCGTGTGTGTCGAATTCCGAGATAGTGATGAATAAATCGATTTAACTATATGAAGATAATACACACTTTGGCTACTACTAGCAGGTATTTATTAGAGTTGATCATCCTCAGGAATCTACAGACTAGTGGTTTTTCCTTAGGCACAATACTTTCTGTCCAGCCACGCATTTCCAGGCGTCACATGCTTGTAAAAACGCTTCAACCTACCGGCTAGTAGTGCCGTTTCGTTCAGCTTCATCTATCCCTCCCCATGCAGTCTTATTATAAGAAAAATTAAAATTTAGCTTAGGTATCCGCCCAAACTTAAGCAAAGGTCAAACCGTTACAGTGTGAATGAATGAATGAATGAGGAATGCGTGCTTGAATAGCTAAAGATATTTAATTTTCATTTTTTGGATATTCACGGAGGAGGTTCAACTGTTTTGCGTAATCAAACACGACGCGTAACCGTATTCTTGAATAAAAGTCAGACTTTGAGTATTTCTGAATTTAAATGAGTCACCTTACATGTATGCGATGCACTGACCTCGTGTCATATTTATATAATTGAGTACGCATTAAATGAATAAAAAAAAGACTCATAACCTTGTAGGCCGCATGGTCTGTTTCCCTGATAAAACTCAATTAATATTTAAAATAATGGTAATGCTATCATTCATTTACACTCATCCTAATGTTAATCGTCAGGTTTCCTGCCACAGATAGTTGGAATAAAAGTAACTAGCCACCACGCTCCCCAAACACTTTAGCCCAGTCCTCAAACTTCTTTAATCCAGCAGGGCTGACACTAGGTCTTATGCTAATCAAACTAGCTTCAAAATCCGAAAAACTCATAGGTCTAATTTCGTCCATTTTCATGGTCAGTAGACCCTCGCCAAGAGATCGCAAGGGGCCCATAGCCGCATCTTTGGCAAGTGCTGTAATATCGGATCCAGAGAAACCTAAAGGAATATATTGGCAAATAAAATGTCGAAAATAAATGAAACTTACCTTTCGTAAGAATAACTAACCGTTCTATATCATCATTCTGCAAATCATGGTTTTGATGGCTTAAAAGACTTTTCAAGTGCGATTCTCTTGTTTTTTCTTCTGGAAGTGGGATATATTGTCTGCGAATAAATCTTCTTCGTGCCGCCTCATCTATAGCCCACGGAATATTGGTAGCTGCAAGTACAAGGACCCGACATGCATCTCCTCGTTCCTTTTCATTCCTTTCTGAGGGTCGCCCTACTGCCGCTCTCTGCAGATCGCTCCATTGTATTAAAAATTCAGTCTTGATCCTTCGCGTTGATTCATTTTCGCAAGATCGGCGGGACGATAAAAGAGAATCTATCTCATCCACAAAGATAATACTCGGCGCCATTATCTTTGCTACTTGAAAGAGAGCTCTAACAAGCTTCTCTGATTCTCCAAGATACTTACTTGTAAGACTACTTGATGATATAGAAAAAAATGTAGACTTTGATTCAGTGGCTACAGCCCTGGCAAGCATAGTTTTTCCTGTTCCTGGTGGTCCGAATAAGAGCATACCTCTAGCAGGCTCACGAAGTCCCACAAATAGATCAGGCCTTAGAAATGGATAGACAACTGCCTCTTTTAACGCTGTCTTGGCAATATCTAGGCCAGCTACATCATCCCAGTGCACCTCATCGGCTGTATCAACAATCTCATTAAATATCTTTCTTGCAGCTAGTTCATCAACTCCTCTAGGCAGGGCTTCTAAGAGTCTTTCGATATTAATTTCGTCGACATCTTTCATGATATTAGAGAATGACGACTCTAAATCCTTTGAGTCTAATTCTGCCATTTTTTTTGTGACTGAATTATTTTTCAGATTTTTTTTTTGGTCTATATCTATTTTTATCAAGCCTTTACTTGAGTTATCATTGATTTTTTTATCCCGAGGCGAAATTTGGAGATTGTGATTTGGAGTGAGTTTTAATTCATTATTGTATCTACACAAGTTTTTATTTTTATAAGCATCGAGGTATTCTGAGATTAAAAAGTTTGGGTTGTCTATATTATTGGTTTGTAACCGAATAGGTGAATTATCTGATTCTGATCTACCTCGAACAATATTTTTACGAGTTTGAACAATCTCATGTCCCGTACAAGGTTTTGTGTCACTTGAAATGTAAGTCTCTTTGAGACAACTTGCATATGAAGTTGTTTGTGCTCGCTTTTGAGTATTGGGACAATGAGAAGATTGAGGAGAATTCGATGATTTAGAGGATCTAGGTTCGATCAAAGGAGAGCTAAAGTCTTTCAGAGTTTGTAAGGTATGGCTCTTCGACTTTGCTGTCATATCTTGGGAGTCATTTGTTGAAATATCCCTACTAACCTCTGCATTAGATTTTATGTCGTGATTTTCTCGTGAATTAAAGTCATTTGATCTTTGGCAAACTGGGGCATCAGCCCTACTGTTATGCTGAAAGCTTTGGATCTTCTCTGAACGACCTTGCAAGTGTCCATTAAGTCCATCTTTACAACCTAAATAACAGCATTGTGAAGTCCTCTTACAGTCATTTGATCCATCGCATTTTTTGTCTTTATTGAGTCTTTCTGAAGATTTCCATGCCAGTGAGGCAGCTGTACTAGTTACATTATATTTATTATCGTCTTTTTGAATCTGATGAGATGATGCCTTCTTTCCTGCTTTATCGCTGGACCTGAGAGTTTGTCTCATAGTCCTTGCTTTTTCTGGACCAGAGCCTCTAGACGCACCCTTAGCTAACAATGCTACATTTAGCGTTCGTGATTGACCAATGAGACGAAAGTGCAAATTGTTAAGAGTATTTGATACTGCGCGCGAAAGATTGCTAACCCTATGGCTATCTTCTGTAAAACGATTTGAGCATGTAGCCAAGTTTTGTGGGATTGTAAGTTTGCATTTGTCAATTCCTGCGACCCCATTCACAGATGTAACACCATCACCTACTTCTAGAACTGGCGTCGAAGATCCATGAGATGTTTTTCTATGATTATCACTTACGTCTCGGGAGTCTACACCTTGCACAAAAGAGGTTGCTAGAAACTTTTTTGGAGATTCGAGTAGATTAATGTGCTCTTTGCATTGGGCTTCCATGGATTGCAACCTGCTGTGGAGAGTTCTCTCAGTTTCTGTTTTTGGTAGATAGCCCGACGGCATGCGATACGCATTATGATGATATATTTGTCCAAGAGCGGAGCGCCACGAGCGGAGTGCTTCCACATCATTGCCCTGTACGTTGGCCGTCAACCTTCGCATAGAACGCCTTTGGAAGTAATAATTTACATGCTTTCACATACCTGGCCTTCAAAAAAATATGCAGTGGAGCTTACCAAATGGCATTCATCGTAAGTTTTTTGTAGTGCTAAATAGGTTTTGTTGCGCATAATGAATATGTCCCTTTGAGCTTCTCTTGAGCCAATTCATATATCTGCATTGGAAAGTTAATTAATCAAAATTACAATATGATGCTTTACTTGTTTACTGCAGAATGAATAACGTGCTTTTATCCCTCAATCTGCATCAGGTTTATGTCACTGACGTCGATCAAAATTCAAGGATACCTCACTGGGTTTGGAGTCGACCAAATAATCAACTAGTAGATACTTTGTTATTTTCCCTTCGAACTGCTTTGGCCAGCAGTTGGGTGTATTGAAAACGTATCAACATAGGTGGGGATTAAACTGAACCTTTCTGGGCCCCACATATTTTGCTAATGCAAGAAGATATCGCTGATTATCTCAAGCACATGATACACTCCAACTATGCGAACCTGTTAAAAACCCTTGCACTAAAGCTTGCACTAATAAAATATATCATTAGCATTGGTACATATATTGTCCAATTGAGCCTATGACTATGTCAGGACATGTAGGTCCTGTCTGCCCGCAGACCGGGAGTATCTATCACTCGAAGATTGTACTACATCACATACCTCCTTACATTCTTTCTGGCAGTAATAACCCCAAAAGTATTGGTTTGAGTATACACATAAAGGAGCCATTATTCCGTAGTTATCTTCCCCTATAGCCAACGAAACGATGGCCGTTTGTGGGTTTTGGTTTGGTTTGTTCATTTACGTGCTAGGTAAAGTGACTACCGCTGCACTCCTCCTGGAGCTTAGGCACGAGTGAAGCCGGGCTAGATCAGGTTATCTACCATTGAGTACATCTACCTCGTCCCACCTGAATGGCCGGACCACCTCAGGCTTCACCCATGTGTTGAATCATGTCAAGCCCAACCGTCCAGAGAACCCCCTTTTGACGCGCCGAAGCGCAATTTCCTTCCCAACCTCGGCCACCACGCGCCCGAGCCCTTGACACCTCCGCGATCTGTAACTTTTCCCTTCGATTCATTACTAGCTTTGGCTCATCTCATCCAGGGGTCGTTTTCTTCACTGGAGACCTCATCCAGTCGCCCAACAAGGCCTCCTCAGTTTGTATTCCCTTTTGATTCCTTCATGCAGTATCCCTCTATTTTTCAGCCGATCTCGTCATCCTAGAAACTTTGTAGAATGTCCACCACTCCGGTCTTGCCCCGTCGCTGCCGTACCCCTAACCGTGGAGGTCGAAAATGTGAATGAGATCTCAAGACCGAGGCACCGGTGCCCCATCCTTTGTCGATCGCTCTAGTTGGTGTGCCGGCGAAATGTCGTACGTATTTCGTCGGTGGCGATTCGTCGCAGGTCGAGTTTTTGGTGCCCTTGGCCGAGGTGAGCACGCATTCAAGGCCGGTATTTCGACCGTACCTTCACAGCGACTGGCAGTTGCGGAGAGTCGAAGATCCTCTTGCTTCTTTGATGGCGATTTGGCTTTTGGAGGTGTGGGATTGCTTCGGTAGGTGATGAGATGATTGTGGAGAGGGCTGCGAGATGAGTTGGGCTGGGAATGATTTTCCAGAGAAATAGAAAAAATATATTGAAGGTGTTGGTTGTTGTAATCGAACATCAGACAGGCTGTAGGCTGTCTGCGGTTCGTATCTGGGGTGTAGATGGTTGATTTCGTTGAGTTGTCCAGTCGTGAAATCTCTGCAAGTCGGATTTCCGACCAAAAATGAGCCAACATTACTCCTCCCGAACGCCAACTCGACGAAAACTCTCAAATTCACCCTTTGTCGTGACTGAATCTCGGCCCTGGGAGAATATTTCACTCCCAGGTTCGTAGAGGATACCACTGACAGGTGTTCAGCCTTCGTCCTCCGGGCTGTTTGTGGGTGTATAGCTACTGGGAAATTTCTCAAATACCACTGGGTAAGGGATTTCACGGAATGATAACATGGGTTAGAATGATGGATTACTATTAGCATACAAATCTTGCAGGCCTGAGTAGGAAAATTATAACGTAACAGTGAACTACGAGCATATACATAATAAAGCGTAGGCTTCAGTCGTATTGCCTAGTTCAGGCAACCTTTTCTCAAAATCATTCTCATTCTAGATATTCCATCTCTTACTTGTGAAGGTCACTTGGAGCCCGTACTAGTATCAGATCACGACGTGCCCTCTATCTCTTCTTGTGGAAGACCTTGACCACCTATTTGTTGAAATGTGATATATCTTGGAATGCCAAGAATGACTTATTAGTAAGTCCGGCTAATTTGACTATCAAATTCCCCATTCTATATCACTGTTATCAATACATCATTCACCGAAAGTTTAATGCGCAATAGCGTTTATTTCACACTAGCATTCCAGCGGATGACTATGTCTCAAATACAGGCTATAGTTTTCTCGTATCTATTACCGACACACGTGTATTTAGCTTTATATTCCTGGCCCATATATGTGTATGTACATAGATCTACATCTACATGGATCATAACTTACGATCCATGGAGATTGATAAATACTGGTCAAAAACCACAGTTGATAAGATATGCAAATATGCAATCTCACTCTTATCATCTCGGTTTTACTCTGAACCATACATCTAAATATAATTGTTTCCACTCGGATCTTCCTCTCACAACCTCATACGAGACTTACTGCATCGGTCTAACCGCCGACACAGATTCCGCTACAACCTCCATCTTCGCTCAAGCTCATAACTTTAACAGGTTATGAGCCCGGTGCTCTCAGTTAATCAGTAAGACTTCAAATCCAAAAAATGGCTTCTTCCAGCTCTTTTTTCTTACATGTTGGAAATACAGTTTCCTGCTTTTCTTTCTATCGACCAATGTGGTTGCATGCATCTTGCCTGAACTATATTTCTGAGTTCGGGCAGGATCCCACACTTCTGATCCAATCGGACTCAACGTTAGAGTCTGCTTGAATCCCATTCTTCCCGAACAAATCCAGTCATTGGTTTGTTCGTACTTCTATTGCGTGACCCAGTATTCTCAGTCAGTGGATAATTATTTTCTGGTACGGGGTCCCACTTATTTCTGCAGTCGAGTCGGTTCTGGGTAACCTCTATTTCTTATAATTCCACTGTATATATCATAATACCTGTAGTCTATTAGTCAATTAAGCAAACTGAACTTCTTCTCCGTTCTCAGGCAATTCTTACTCCGACGTCTTCTCTATACTCTAACATTACAACAGATAAACAATGATACCACTAGGATGGTAAAGCTATCTGATATCACCAAACTTTCAGGCCAAGATAATTACAATGTGTGGGCCTCAACCATGACAATTATTTGGCGAGCCCTGAAAGTATATGAGCTAGTTGTTGAATGAAAGAAACCCGAAAAGAATTCGTCCGCAGAGGAGTTGAAGGCATTCGAGTCGTTAAAAAACTATGCCCTCACGGTTTACCTACAGGTTGTATCCCCAAAGCTCATTGAACAGATTATCGAGCTCCAAGATGCACATGAAATGTGGATTTATCTCAAGCGACAGTTCTATAGGGATACTGCATTTGCTCTAGTCTCGCAAATGCGAAAATTAATCAACCTCATCAATGCCTACAACCCGTCTACCCCAATTTCAGATTACATCCAAAATTTCGAATCTGAATGGCTCACACTTCATAGAATGTCGAAAGCATCTACTGATTCCTATCGGCAATTTCTATCGAAGTTCTTAGAAGAAGACATGGCAAAACGTGATTTTCTTCTAGCCATCCTTTCCGAACATCACGAAAATGCTGTTGATAATATAACAACAAAAGATGATCTCACCTTCTCTGAAGTTAAGCAGCGACTGATGAACCTGAATCATAAAAATATCACAACACGCCATTCTGCCTTCATGACAAAAGAAATTAAAGGCAACAAATCTTCATCTAATCGAATATCCAAGAACTCGAACAGACATGAATGCAGTTGGTGTAAGAAACATAATCCAGGACGTCACATTGGACACCTGTGGAACAAATGCAAAAAACTAAAGGAGTCTAAGACTAATCTTTCCAAGAAAGATGGCGGCAGAGATGAGGCTCACATGACAAACTCAAAGAACCAAGAGGTCAGATACCATCCCTTTTACCTTGATACTTGTGCAACCTCTCACATGTGTCCTTACCTAGATCGGTTCGAGAATCTCTCGACTTGTACCGGACTTGTAACTTCAAGCTCCGGTCAAGCTATGCCCGTGAAAGGTAGAGGAACAGTGACGATGGATTGTAAAGCCTCAAATGGTTCTGTTTCAACCTTACGTCTAAATGATGTTTTGTATGTACCTCAACTGCAACGTCCACCCTTTTCTTGGAAGAGAGAAAGATCTAAAGGCTGTACTTTATTTCATGATGGGAATGTAATGAAAATTTTAAAAAATGGCAAAACACTATTGGAAGCAAAGTTTGATGGCCCTCTGCCATACATAGTCGAAATTGAAGACATTGCCTGCTTGACTTATGAATTCTGGCACAAAGCCTTGTGTCATTCAGCTCCATCTTCAATCACTAAGGCCAATAAACTTATACTAGATACTAAAACTATCCCCCCATGTCCAGAAAATTTTAAGTGTGAAGCCTGCATAATTGCTAAATCCAATTGCAACAAACCTAAACCAGCCTCGAGAAAGACAAAAACCAAAGGAGAATATATACATTCTGACTTGTGTGGACCATTACCAGTACCTTCTTATGGAGGCGCTCTATATTACATCAGTTTCGTTGACGATGCAACTCGGCTTTCTTCAGTCAAATTTCTAAAACTTAAATCAGAAGCCTCTCAGTCAATCATTGATTACATCTCAAAAATGGAAACTCAACATGATGTCAAAATTAAGTGTTCCGAACTGACAATGGCAGAGAATATCTGAATGACAAATTGAGTAGATTCTTTACTCAGAAGGGAATAGAACATGATCTCACTCCACCATACTCTCCAGAATCGAATGGAATTGCTGAAAGGTTAAATCAGTCAATTGGTGAAGGTATATGCGCAATGCTTCTACCAATAAAAGACAAAAGATTATGGGCAGGGGCAGTAAACACATATA